AAGAGAACCAATTAATTTAGGTAATGCAGTTTTCAGCATATAAGCAAGTACTGATCCCATCTGAAGATCTGAAAAAACAAAACAAAACAAAAAACCACAGGCTCCATCAAAGATGAACTGCATTCCCTCCACGGGACATGGAAGGATGCAGATAAAAATTAAGGCCAAATGTGGGCAGGAATGAAATAAAATCTGATAAGACAGATGGGGGAAGGAAAAGGGAGAGGCGAAGTAAATTGCAAGCAAAAGGGGAGTCAAAGGTAAACAGATGTACAAGATAAACTCTTTGAAGTGGAACATTTCCAGGCTGAAAATCCTTTGCTTGGGGACTTAAATCTGGACTCTCCTGTTCCAGTTCACTGAAGTGCACTGCATTTTATTTTGGCACATGTGTAAATTATATAAAACATCGCAGAGCCGAAGGTCATTGTTCCCAAGGAACTGCTCCTCTTGGCCACTGTTCTGCATCTAGTTCAGGCTGATCCTCTGGGTGGTTGTGCAGAAACAGGGCCAGACAGGCTTTGAGGGGCGCAAGGGGCAGCAGCTACCTTTCAGATCCGTGCTGTCTTTCCAGGCTGCCTAGGCAGCACCCCCAACAGCAGGCTCTGTACCCAGGATTCTGGCTAATGCTACTGTTATTCAGATTGCAGGAGAGGAATTGGAAAGACACTCACTCAAAAGTGTGCCTGAAGGGTACCCTCTTAACTCCACGGGGGACACTGAGAAATGCAACTACAAGGAACAATGCTGCAGGAGGGCCCACAAGATATCTTCCTTTGACCCAATTCTGAGATGAATCATGGTTCACAGAAACCAAAAGCCCATTAAAAGAAACAATACCTTTGTACAGATAATCCAAGGTCAAATACAGCTGCCCTTTCGAGTAAGCAATCATAGAGTGCTGTATCCAACTTCTTCATTTCTAAACTTCATATTAAGATCCCAATCCACTATCCCATCACCTGACCAGTACTGAATCATGCGGTCCATAGCCGGGCTACTACTGACATGGGCATAATCCAGGTGACTTCAGTGATCACCCTAATCCCTTATACTTATATTTCACTGGATAGTCTGTGAAGGTCTAGTGCACTCATTATTCTACCCGATCCTCCTTATAACCCCAGAATAAGCCCCTTTCAAGACCTGTCTGCCTTCCAAATGGGACTTTGCAGCCAGACACGCTGTTCTTTTAATAGTCATTCATATGTTCCACTCTCAAGACCAGGAATTCTTATTTTCAGCAGATGTATCCCCACAGAAACTCCTTTCCTCCCTCCCGCTAATAACAATAAAATATTAATAACAATATGACCAGGACCACTGTTCATCATCATCTTCAAGGACTTCAAGTTGATTTCCTCTGCTTCACTCTACTTTTGGTCTTGTGCTGGGGACCGAAATGTATCTTAACTCCGCATTTCATTAGATCTCACCTTTCCCTGTTGATCGTGTCTCATGAGTAATCTAACTCAGTTCCAATCTTCCTTTGTAGGTGGGGTGCTCTCCAACCACAGACATGAATTATGTGTGTTCAAGTGGTGCATTTTATGAATCTTGTTAAGCTTTGCCACCTTACAACCCATGGATGGAATATTTAATCAGAGAAATGAGTTGGCTGGTATGATATACGGTATGGGGAGTGCAGCAGTATGTATCTAAGCAGCAACTGAGAAGTAGATACATCTGCCATTTGTCAGTACCACCCTGGCACCTTAGTTCACTCTTCTATTATTTATTTTGATTTTGTTTTACTTACTCATGAATGAAAGGTGTTTTAAATCAATAGTTTTGTTGGGCAGATAATATGGTCATTTCTAAGAGATACTACTTTTTTAAAAAGCATTTTGCTTAGAAGGCAAATGAACCTCTCACAATTACAGGGAAAGGGTAAGAATCTCCTCTGAGTAGTTTTTCATCCAGATTCTTGGAAGCATTATTTCCAACTACTCCAAATAGCTTCAGGTAAGCTGTGGGGAAGAGATGATTTCCTTGATATCCTACTTCTATGAGCATTTTAAATTTTATTTAAACTTCAAAATGGTATGGCCATTTGCATATACGTGGGCCAAAGTCTTCAAGACTCACTTCCACCTTAACTGACTTATCGATCGTTTGTCTTGAGAGCCTACAGGGATCTGAAGCTGATTAGACTCAGGAAAATAATTGATGCTGTTAGTTTTATAGGAAAATCCCCATCTGTCCTCGGAGAAGATTTATATATGTTCATGCGATATGCTGATTTGTGTATATCTACTTCTGGAGACTGATATTGAATAAGAATTTAAAAGAATAAAAATGACTTGAGAGTTCAGGGGTAAAAAGCATTCAAAAGAAAAGACCTTTTGCGATAGCTTTCTAAACACTTCCTTTAGTAGGAAGAGTGTGTGTGCAAGAACAAATGTCATAATTTATCAAAGCAAATTAATACTGCTCAGGTAGTAATTAAAGGTCCTCATTAAGAAGTGCAACTGCTTTCCCCATTCCCACCCTGCATTAGCAATAAAAATGCACCAGGGGCATCAAAAGGTTATACACAAAAATCAATAACTTGCCATTTTATAATTAAAAGAGAAAATAAATGTTAGGGACAAGTCCACTAAATTAGGAAAATTACCTTTAGGAGAGATTGAAAATATTGATTTTGATTTACAAAATATGTGAACTTTTCATGCCCCATTCTGAGAGACAATTGGAGGCTGGGTTGTTAATTCTGCAAAAGCTTCAGAAAATCAATAATTATGCTATGGGAATATTATGAAATTTGTCATTAACAGTGTCTTATATATGGACATGACTAATAAGTCTGGCTTTCTATCTTAGGCAGATACTGGGCTAGCTTACAAAATATCCAGAGAAAATCAATGACAAGGTTTTCATTTCAGTTTTGAGGCACACTTTGAGTGGTGAGATAAACCCAGACTCTTTATAGCTGGGGAAATTTAAAACACTTTATAAATTCTTAGCCATGGACATATAGATGGATGACATCAATAATTATTCCTGGGTATGGAAATAAATATATTCTACATCTACATCACTGTATATATCCATTCTATGGTTTTTGATTTTAAACCACCTTCGTCTTTAGTGCCTATAGGTCTTAAAACCTTTCCAAGAAATTGTGCTGTGGTGTTGAAACTGCAGCGATATTTCCCCACATTTCTGAATACTACAATCTCTGTCTACCCACACACACACACACACACACACACACACACACACACACACACACAGGAATACTGAGGAGAAAGAAAACATCTAGTTATTTGGGTATTAGTTATTTTGACTTCTCTGACCATTTGGGGGATTTGTAATACCTGTCTCTCTCCATGTGCCCCCTGAACAGACCGCCATCTGCTCTTCCCACAAATTAACTTCCCCCAAAAAGACATTCGGAGGACTATCAAACTAGTCCTCCTGGGAATTGAGTAGAGTCTCTTGTTCTAATAGAATGCCCCAAAATTAGCAGAGTCAGCATCTCAGCTAATTTTCCCTCATGGCAGAAGAGTAGAGCATCAATTCATTCATTTTTCTTTACAAATGTTTTCTATGGTGCTGACAGTGTAGCACTCTTCTTATATTAATTCCTTCAACTTCAATAAAATCGTATAAGCTGCCTACTATTGTTATCCCCATTTAACAGGTGAAAGAAACTGAGGCACAGAGAGGTTAAGTAACTTGTCCTGAGTCACACTGCTGGGGAGCTATGATTTGAGCGTGGGCTGTCTGGGTGCAGGTTCCATGTTCCTCACTATGCTGTGTATTCTCCCAGGAGGTGGGTTTCACAGTGTAACCTTGGAAACTCCCATGGTAATGTCCATCCTCCCCCACAAGAGGCAACACAGCTACTACTATGTAAGGCTGAGGGAACTTTATCCAGGCCTCTGCTAAAGAAAACTCACATGTGAAGACTGCATGCTAACACTGCCTATCTATCTAAACCCAGAACCCCACCAGCATACGGAGCCTGCGCAGATTTATCAAATTTTTAATCTTTGCTTTTTTTATAAAAAAAAAAAAATATATATTTTTTTGCCAGCCAAGATAAATTTCACATGTTCCTCCAGGATGGAGGCTTTGTATTAGGAAGCCCAGAGAAGTTAGGCATCCCAGGAAGAAACCAACAAGAGGTATGACTTACCGTCAAGAGATCACTAAGTGAGTGCGTCTAAGATAGATTGGTTTTTTATTTCACCTTGGTCAAAAGCAAGAACCCCATCAAAGAAGGACTCCTTCACCACGCCTACGTGTCGTGTCCAGTCTATCCTAGGATCCTGGCTGCTCTCTGCAGGCTACTTGGTGAGGATGAAGGCCTGAGGCAGTAGTGGCAGAACAAACTGAGCACATCAAGGCAGGAAACCCCAGCCTCCGGTGCATCCAGTCTGCCCTCTCCCCAAATTGGGAACCTGAGTTTTCTAAGTGAGGGGGCCCTTGGTGCTAACAGGCTGAGAAAGGGTACAGAGATGGACATGTCTTTGAAGTCAAAGTACAGAGAAGGGGGATTGCTAAGGGAAATGGATAAATTGAAAAGAAGACAATTTAAGTTTTCCTCCTTTTTGAAATGGGACTCCTTTGGGTAACTCCAAGTCACTGCCATGTTATTGGAATAAGGAAGCCAACTCTCTGCTTTGCCAGGAAAAAGAAAACGCGACCAACCCCAAATGGAAATGTGTAACTAAAAAGACACATTCAGGCACATTGGAATAAAATGGGCATGGACCGCTCTCTTTTTGTTCAATGGAAGATTGAACAAAGCCTTGATGTTTTTTTAGGGCAAAACCAATATGAAATGTCACAGGGAGCAGGGCTCCACAGGATTCCCCTTTAGTCTTGAAAGGGCTTAAAACTCTCTTGGTTTTGCCCAAAGAAATCATTCAGAAGTTGTTAGGACAGGGAGTCACATGGTTCGGATTATTTTACAAAGCCCATTATTTGTTGGCAGGCAAAGCACACTGAAAAAAGACGAAGGAGATTGCGTGCACTGAGAAACTCCTTACCTGCATAGAATTCAGGACTGTATACTGCACCCACAACGGGGTTCAATTTCCAGCCTGGAAACAAAGGTATAAAACATCATTACCACATTGGATTTAGCAACTGTGTCACTGCAAAGTAACCACATTTCCAGTAGGTTGAAGTATTTTTAAAATATATGTATTTTAAAATTAAGGGACATCCAGCCTGGGCATGCATAAAATGTTTGAAAACTATACATAAAAATAGATTTATGCCTTTCTTTGATTTTCTGCCAATGTGAGGTAATGGAATGGAAAAATACTGACTGGCTACAGGTGAACCATTTCAAAATGATACAATTAATTTAGTACCATATCAATATTTTTAGTGCCACTATAATAATTTCAATTTTCTGTTTTATTTCATATATCACTGCTAGATAATCCATCACATGTAGCTTTGCATTAAATTTACAAGAATTTGAAAGCTTGCATAAACAAAATCCTTTGCAGGAATACATTCCAATGATTACCATTCTAATTATGACCCAGAAATACTAGAAAATTCTACACTGCTTTATGACTACCAAAGAAAGTGGTATTTTATCCCCTGGAGATTTAGTGTGGAATACATTTTAATGCATCCAGGAAATGTAAAACTTAATCAATGCATGATATATAAGGTAACTTTCAAATAACCTGCCTATATGATTAATAGAATCCTGTAATTTTTCAAATGCTCTGTATATGAAGATTTCTTTAAAATGAATCCTGGCCCTTCAGAAATTTTCACTCAAGAGCATACCAGAATATTCACAAAGTGGGAGGCACATTACAGACCCATGGAGCTTATTGAGGGAACAATCTCTAAAAAATGGTCATGTTATAGGGTAGGTGATTGTTTCCTGCTCCTCCTGGAAAACTGCCAGGAGAACATTCATTATAGAACTCTTGAAAGACAAAGGAGGGCTGGTGTGCTTCCTTGCTCTTCTGTCCTTGGACATAGGGTCAAATACTGAAGGACTCTGAATAATTGTTCCATAGGAAAGGCAATGGTAAAATGGATGAGAGGGAAGGTATTTCTAACAATGAGACTTCTCTTAGGCTTTCCAGAAGGGAGATACATGATTTCTCACTCAACCTAGTGATCCAGTTCTAAAAGCAGCTGAGATATATTCCTAAGGTCCACCAAGGAAGAGAGAAGCTCAGTATCAACAGATAGGCCCCAGGATGTATTGAAATCTAAAATTCTCTAGCACTTTGTAACAATGTTTTGTTTCTAAGAACTTTCAGTTCCAACTTGAATATTTCCCAAGATGGCTTTCAAGAGAGTTTTTCAAAGTCCCATACTTGGATTACCTAGGAGGCAAAATAATGGAATTCCTGGGTTCCCTTTTAGAACTACAGAAACAGACATGAGATTCTGAGACTTACTGACCCCAGTGTTTTTTAATACTTTGTACAGTTACCTTCCTCTGTTATACTCTGAAATTTCACCATTTGTTAAAAAAGAAAATGCTCAGTTCCTGAGGACATGGGACTTGTGTCCACATTTGAACTTATTTGGAATCTAAGGGAAAAAAAATAGAGCAATGTACTTGAAATCAAAGATTTGATGGTCTTTAACTTTGTCGCCCTTTACAGAAATTTTGAATCTGTAAAGTAAATCTACCTGGAATCATATTAAATGAATGATTAAGTTATTAAGTTATTATTCCTCTCCTCCATCTCTTTGCTTCTACTGTATACCTACTTACAGCCTTACTTTTTTTTTGGCAGTGGAGTTGGGGCCTTATCACACCCTTCAACTCAGGTTTTCTTTCTTATACACACCCTTACTAAAGTATCTCCCTTAAAGATTTTCTTTTGCATATAAACCTGGGGCACATATTAATTTTAATGTCACCCACAATGGTTTAAATTATGCAAATGATCTTTTACTTCCTCAAAGAAACAGATTTCTCAGATTTGCCTAGAAACCACATTTCTGCTCTCCGTTTTTATCTTCCATAGCTCTTTGGACCAAGAAATCTGTCTACCTGTCTAGTCATCTCTCTAGGATATACTGCCTGTCTGTCTATCATCTATCTATCTAATCATCTATCAATTTACCAAGTCTGCTAATGAAAAATTGTCACTCAGTTTAAAAATAATACAAATTAAATGATACTGTCATCAAGACAACCTTGTCACCTCATGTCTGCAAGTATTAATTGAATTCTAAAGGTAAATGAATCTGTGGAAGGTCACTGCTTTCCTCATCAGCCGAGAATATCAACGCAGATATTATCTGCTTCCCATCCCTAATTGTTCTCCCTAAACAAAGCTCTCCACTCTTACTATACAGAAAACAAAATCTTTTCAGAGCCCCACAGCAGGAATGAAAACTCAGTGCTTCCCGCCCCACCAAGCTCATCCTCCCCGAGTCTTCCCTGTTTTGTAGACGGCATCTCATCCACTTGTTTGGTTGCCCAGAACAAACTTCTGAATCAGGAGTTCCATGATTCTTCCTTTTTCCTCACGGCCCATATGCAGCCCATTAGGAAATCCTCCTTGTGAAACTTGGAAAGGTCTTCCTTTCTCCACTGTCATCATTCCAGGAAGGGACACTCACCTCTTCTCAGAACAGTCATGAAGCAAAAAATGCCATAGCTTCTCCACCTCCTCTTACCCCCACCCCTCCTCCCTCTCCATCTGTGCTATTTACAGGGCTGAAAGAATTCCTACGATGGAAACTACATGTCATTCTGCTACATGAAGTTTAGTTGGTTCCCTCTAAACTCATGATAAACAGAAATTCCTCAACTTGGCCAAGAAGCCCACAAAATCTAAACTTTGCCTATTTATTGTGCACCGCTGTTCTCTTTCTCCAACCTCTAGTGACACTGGTCTTTTTAACATGAATAAAACCATCCAAGCCCATTCGATATTCAGGGCTTCAGTCTCTCAGCTTGGAGAACTCTCCCAAGTTCTTTATGAAATCATCTTGGTGCTCTATCGGTCTTCAGTTTCTTCCCAGAACATTGTCACTTCATGTCACCCTCCTGCCTTCCTTTGGAATTACTCTTTGATTCAATGTGCAGTTGTATTTTATCCATCGTTGTTAACAATACTCCCTAGATTTACCTCCTTTCTTTCTTTGCTTGTTTTTGATTCTTTTAATATTTTCCTTCATTAAAATTAATGTTAAGAGTGTTGAGAAGACTGCTGTCTACCATGAATCTCCAGAATTTGGAGCTGTGTTTGGTAAACATCAAGTAGTCCATAAACATTTCCTTGGGATTATTAAAGGGATGGAATGAATAGGGAGCTTTTTTCTAATAGACTCATTCTCTTTTGACTAGGACGGTTTCTTTCCAGCCTGCAGGGACCTGCCTCCTAATAGAGTATAATCTAATGAAGAAGGACCCTGTTATGGATGACTGTCTTCCAGGAAAAAGCAATGAGAATCCAGCCCTTGAAAATCACCTCTGCTCAGATTTGCTCAGACTTCCTCAGACTTACACACCTCCAGTAGTCTTTGGCAAATATATGCAAATTATATGTAAATGAACTCATACTTTTTGTGACTCCTTGTAGTACCTGGAAGAGACCCTTGGGATAACCTTGCTGAAGATATGAGCCTGCATTCTTAGGAAGATGGGCAAAATGATCCCATTTAAAATTACTTAGGCAGTTTGTGTAAGTCCCCAGGCCTTGCAAATTCAGAGATTTTGATCAAGGACATTAAACCAAACAATGAGGCTTACAACAAAAAGAGAACAGCTGATAAAGCCCACTACCTCCAGCCTCCCACAGCCCCCCACACAGCAAAGCAATGGAGCAGAGCTCAGCACACAGTCTTGCTGAAATCAGAAACATGAGCAGTTTTGGGAGACCCTCTGGGGCTCGGCCTCCAGGGGCTACTGCATCTGAATCAGCACTCCCCTCCATAAAGTGAACTCCTCCAAGATCACATGCCACCCTTTTTTTTTTTTTTTTTTTTTTTTTTTAAGGAAAACACTGGCCAAGATTCCCAGTGCTAACTACTGCTGTAGTGGGTGTTCAAAGGCACAGAAAACCCGGCCCCTGCCTTCTCTAGGGCTTTGCTGGGGTGGATATCCAAGAAACAAGTTCCAGAAAGTCACCTTAATACACTGCAGGGCTTTCAAAACTGCATACATAAGCTTCCTAAAGACATGTACAAAGGATGCCAGGGAGCCAGCAGGTGAAATGATGGAGGAGGCATAACCCAAATGCCGGAAAAAGGAGAAGGTAATTGCACATTGTTTGGTTGTGTGTTTTATTTTGTCTCACTCAGTGTATCTTTTGGCAATATGCTTTCATGACTAAAATTTACATTTTACCTGAAATACGTGACGTGAGGTTCTGCAGACCCTGGTAGAGGTGGCACACTGAAGTTAAGGAATCCCCACAGATAGCTCTATTTGAAGTGACCAAGGCTATCATGTTTAACTTCCCAGTTAGTAACCACAGTCACTGACCTGTTTTATGCTCTATCTTCTATTGTTAGTCTATGATATTTTGTCTTCTAGTAGAGAAATCTGCTTTACTCACTAACAAAAGATAGTTTAAGACTGAATTTCTCAAAGACCCTCTCTGTTTGCTTTACGCTTGATTTCACCTGTGCAGCCCTTCTTTTGTTTTTGTTTTTGTTTTTTTTTTTGGTACCGGGGATTGAACTTGGGTCCTTGCGCTTGCAAGACTGGCCACCGAACCACTGAGCTAAATCCACAGCCCCGTGCAGCCCTTCTTAAATCTGAATATTTGATCCTTAAATTGGGAATTCAACTTGCTCTCCACAGCAAAAAGTGAACAATATTACGACTTAATGTTGAGATCACTGTGTATCTGGATAATATTGTACTATGATCTGAAGTAAAAAATATAGGGCAGTATGCATATCTAGCATGGTGTTGAGTCCTTTCCCTCCCATATTAATCACAAATGCTTGTGATATAAGTCCATTATATGCTCAGTTCCTACTTATGATAACTTGGACAAGGAGAGTTTAAACAACTTTCCCAAGGGTCAATACCCACTGACTGGTATAGCTGTAGTGAACAAAGTCCACTTCTCTTTAAAGTCTACGCTATTTTTGTCCAGTAGTCACCATTCCTAAAACCACTAAGCAAACAGAAGAGCCATGTCGAATGAACCTGCACTTCCTTGTCTCCTAATAAATCACTCCTAATGTAATTTCCAAGTCATTTCACGGATCCAACACTTGATACCCAATGAACACAGGAATCCCCCACTCCTCTTCATAGGGAAATATTCTTGGGAGGGATAACAAAACAAAAATACCAGCCGTGCTTTGTGGGGCTTTCTGGCTAGAAGAATTCCCGAAAGCATATATTTCATTTTTCTTATCTCCACATTTAAAAGTCCCGAGAATGTAATCGGCATCCTCCAGGGTCTTCTATAGCACAGTATCCAAGACAAAAAATTTCTCATTGCTTTTAGTCCCCAGTCTCATTCCTCACTGGAAAACTCTGCAGCTGTTAGCACTTTGGCTGGATACATAGTTAAAGGAATTCATGAATCTGATATTGGCAGTAACAGTTCTATTTCACCATATGAAGATGACTTCAAAATTTGATGACTAGTAATTTATACTTTTGTTAAAGCATAATTTTGATGGTTTGTGATCATGAATTTATTTTTTCATTTAAATGCAACTCTACTGATTCTGTCTAACCCTTTCTTATCATAACCACATCCTCTTGTTATGTATTTGAAAGGTCCCTTATTTTCCCAGTTCTATTGTACTGCAATTTATGGGAAATGTTACTTATAATGGTCATACTTATGAGTTAAAAATTGGAAGAGCTTTGAGAAATGCTTGTCATTAACTATCAAAGCTCTCTATAATCTCCCCTATAGAAGCCACTGACTCTGTATAATTGAGATTTGCATTTGTTCTGTAAATCAGTTGAACTGTGACCGTCCATCCACTCCTTACACGCCAGACTCACAATCTGTGACAGGAATAATCCTACGAGCATGCTTTTCAAGCCCATGGATGAGAGACCCACAAGGCTTGTTCCTAGAAACTAAGAATGTATGCACGTGGGATATTTATGCCAACATTGGGCAGGAACTTGAGGTTGCACATTTACTAAATCACTGGCTACTGTCGTTGGCTGCCATTTGGATGCACTTCTACAAACTGACGGAGCAAAGTAATGCCTGCTGCACCCAGAGGCCTGACCACGAGATTTTATCATTTCATAATAAAAATAAAAAGCTTAATTAATCATTTCCTCTCATCTAGCCTGCTTCTGCATCTTTAAGACAGGGAGAATGATGTCCTCTTTGCCAGCTAGGATTTTGGTTCAGTGCCTTTAAAATGCTTCACATAATGCACGCAGTGCTCCAAAAATGCCGGATACTTATAAATGGGGTTTGAATTGTGTCCAAAAATCCGATAGGCTTGGTTTCAGTGCCAGAATATGACACTGATCAATAATGCTCTCTTTAAATATATGTATGGCTTAGGGAGTAATATTTTGCTTTCTTTGTTTCACTCTTCTCACTCAGCACATACGAGCTCCTTTGCACCAGCACCCCAAACCCTGGGCTTTTACACACCTATACACACGCAAAATGCGACTTCACAATGAAAGAAAACACACAACTGGCTGATGTCATCACATATTAACGCTGGCAGATGCATAACTGTTATTTCTACGAAAGTAGAAAGGCATGACACCTTCATCCACAGTTTGCTTCATTTCAGAGCTTGGCTTTCAAAATCTGTAGTTAAGAATATGTCTTGGGTACTGGAGCTAGGAGAAGGGGCCAGCACCATAAACAATCGTGGTCTTTTGAGTTAGAGCCATGTTATGTTGACAACAAAAGCGTTAACTCTTCAAAATAAAAAATAAGCTGACTTTGCCAAATTGGTGGCTATCAGCAGAGGAAGAGGAAAAACAAAACTACCAAATGCTAATATTGTTCTTTATAACAGAAAGCCAAAACCAAATACAAACAAGCAAACAACTAAATACTAATCAGCACTGAAGTTCTGAAGAAATACATAATAATTATATATATTATATGTTATATTATAATGCATTAATTATATAGTACCATATATATATATAATACCATATATATATATATATGTATATATATATAGATGTTGGAACTAGTAAATAGAATTGGTTTAATCTGTATGTTCTAACACTGTGAGGACTTCATTTTGCTTTATAGAAGCCATTTAAAAATAATGAACACCACACCATTTATATAAAAATGTGAACACAAGATTCTGAGAACTTTACATGAACAGCTACTGTAGGTAAACAGAGAGAAATACAGCATAGAACTACAGCTACCTACATGTGATAGTGGCTTCTGCTATGGTGGACAGTAAGAAACCAGGTAAGAAGTAGTAGTAGTCAAAATATATGGTAGGCATGTTTGTACTATTTCCTTACATAAATTTTTTTCTTTTCAAATAAGCCCGTGTTTTTAGGTCTCACATATAACTGTAACTTCAAAAATAGGAAATTCACATTTTTTTGTTTGATTGCAATAAGATCACATTATTTTTGTTTATTTATTTTTTTGTTTTTTTGTTTTTTGAGACAGGGTCTCACTATGTAGTTGAGACTGACCTGGAACTCACTATGTAGCCCGGGCTGGTCTCGAACTCACAGTGACCCTCCTGCCTCGGCCTCCCGAGTGCTGGCATTACAGGCATGCACCACCACACCCAGCTAAGATCACATTATTTTTGAAAACTTAGAAATCAAACAAATGATGTCATCTCGTCTTGCAATTCAATACAATATTAACATTTTGCTGGAACTACTACCATCACTTCAAAATCATGCAATACACACTTCTTAATCATTTAAGTTACTTTACTCATTACGAGGCCCTTCACTGTCTTTATCCTAATTTTAGTAGGTATGATATTCTATTCAATGCATTTTCTGTAACTTACTATATTAATTTTTTAAGTGTTGATACAATTAAGTGTGTGATTAATGTTGCACACATTTCCTCTTAAGAGATGTTTATTGTGAGCAGGATTAAAGAATTAAAGTGTTTGAACATAGTTAGCATCCTTCATACACATGTGAATTCTTTCCAGCAGGAGTCTGCAGCAATGTTTTTTATAAGGGCAGAAATGCACTGTTTGGAGGAGCTTTGAAAGGGAGTACCCTTTCCTGGCCCCAAATGGTCCCAGAAAGTAATTCATGCGCACACATTCTTCCCTCCCTGTGGAGCTCTATTCTGAGCACGCTGCAAGTGACTCCAAAAGCTCAGTAGCTTTGGAGAAGATGCAAAGTCAAAGCGAAATCATGTGGCCACACTTCCAAGAATAAGTAGCCATCAATGAAGAGATTGTAAGAAAGAACAAACAGATAAAACCTCCATTTTCCCCCTCAATTTACTAGAATTAAATTACCCAAATAATTCCTAAATAATTACTGGATCTCAGTCCCTAGTGGGAGTTATTCTAGAGAAACAAGAACAAGGGCATGCACACTTAACCTGAAACTAAACGTGCCTTTGCTGCGAAAATAATCTTATTGATTTAGGTGGCTCCCTGTAGCAGTAGGTCAGGAGCAAAGACGCAAGAACCATGCTGAGGGAGACAGTTTGCTCAAACAGATTACCTGGTTAAATAACTTAATAGATACAAAAGCAGAAGGGATTCCTTAGAAAAGGCCAATCTCTACTTACCATTTGTATAGGGGTTGACGGTCTTTTTATTTGTCATTACGCGTGCCGTGGCATTATTTACCTATGTACATAGAAAACTCAAATGAGCTCATATTCCAACCCCAGCCCCAAATTCAATTAGTAGCATGCATTATGACTGTGATTACTTATTAAAAACAAAACAAAACAAAAAACTAAAATGCATTTTAATTTATAAAAGGCAGTAGGTGCATAACAAAATCATACATTTTATAATTACATTTACTTCATAACCATTTTAACTTACAAATCATTTCAATAAAGCAATGTCATCTCATTTAAACGTTTAATAAAGAGACAGTAAAAGCAAATTAAAAGATACTGCATAATTGAAGATTTAAACGCATGCGTGTACTCCATGGTAACACAGAAACGATAAATCGTCTTTGAAACATAAAATAAAGCTCATATGAAAGGACATGCAGTGGAGTAGAGAGGGGAGAGACAAGGTACAGGGGACAGAAATGTCAAAAAAAGGGACAAACAAGTTTTAGCCGTGTGCAACACCGAAAGGGGAGAACCGTCAGAAAGCAACATCTAGCATTCGACACTTGGAACAGAGCCTTTACATCGCAGGGATTAACAAATCATTCAAGCTTCCAAGTCACAGCTGACGAAAGGATCAAAGAGAGGGTGCATTGTGTGACACAGTATGGAGTTAACGATCTGAGTAAGATGTGCACCGGTCATGACTCAATCCAGTCAGAGCCTCCCAGGCTAGCTTAAAACGTACACTCGATTACAGGCGTACCAATATCCAAAAAAAAAAAAAAAAAAAAAAAAAAATAGAGCATCAAGAAAACTTAATACAACAAGTCAAAAAGTTCACGTGGTATATATATATATGTATATAGATATATCAGCACTAAATACGTGAAACGGCAGATGGACTTCACCACTTACCATTCACCACCATCGCCAGCATGGGTTTGTATACAGTTACCATGGTTACTGAGAGTTTGGTGAGGGGCCTAAGCGTTACCGTCGAAGGGGGAAAATGAAAGGCAAAATACGCAACATCTTACTCCAAAGACTAAAGCATTTGTAACTGGTATTTTTTTTTTCAAGTTTTAACAAATATGACCCTCTGGTTATGTTAAGGGGGATCCCAGTGGTACAAATAGCGGACTTGGACTGTCGGAATTTTCGTATTTACATTTTCAGTGAACAGGAAATCCTGTTTGGTGATAGATCCCCATATAATCAAGAGAATGCAAAATTTCAAACTGGCTTTTTGTAAAAAAAA